CGCGGAGGCGGGGGCGGACTGGCGGTCGCAGGGCAGGCGGAGGGGACGTGGGGGGCTGGCCGCAGGTATGGGGCCCCGGCCCACCAGGGGGCGAGCCCTCGGGGCTGCAGTGCAGCTGGGAAGTCGAGAAGTCGGGGTAACGGAGGGAAGATCCCGAAGACCTGCTTGGTCAGAGGGTCAGAGGGACTCTTCCGGCACGTGCCCAGCGCTTCCGGGGCGTGCTTCCGGTATAGCGCCGAGCATTTCCTGTGCATGCCAAGAGCGTCCTGTGCGTCTCCGGGGTTGCTTCCGGTGGAGCCTGCCTGTGCTTCCTGTGCATGCCCTGCATTTCCGGTGCCTGCAGAACACTTCGCGCACACCTAGCACTTCCTCTGTGTGCCACTCCCACCCTTTAGGGCGCGTGCCTTCTGTACAGCGCTGAGCACTTCCTGTGCGTGCCCAGGGCTTCCGGTATTGCCTACCCTTGCTTCCGGTGCATGCCCTGCGCTTCGGGTCCTGCCGGTGCTTGGCGTGCTGAGCGCTTCGTGCACAGGCCTGCGTTTCCGGTGCATGCAGAGCACTTCCGTTTCCGGTGCATGCAGAGCACTTCTGTTTCCGGTGCATGCAGAGCACTTCCGTTTCCGGTGCATGCAGAGCACTTCTGTTTCCGGTGCATGCAGAGCACTTCCGGTGCGCGAGTCTGTTGGGTCTAGTTTCCCAGCTGGTGTCGGCGGCATCATGAGGTGAGTGGTGTGGCGACCCTCAGGGCCCAGGTGAGGAAGCGCGGCGCCCTCGCGTGACTGTCCGCGACCTGTGCATGGGGTGCCCGGATGCAAACCCAGGTGATGCCCCGAGGGCAGGGTCCCCGCCGTCTCCGGGCATTGTCCGCCCCAAGGGGTTCTGGAGAAGGCAGAGGCTCCCCCCCTGGGCCCAGGCGGCCCCCCTTGTCCCGAGGGAGGCGTGGCTGCGGCGGAGCGGAGGGCGTTGCCTGTGGACCCGGCCCCCTGCGTGTCTGCGCATCCCCACGGCCCCCACGCGCCTCTCGCCTCTAGGGCCCCCTTCGGGTGCCTGCTGGTCCCACAGCGCCCCCGAGTGTCTG